AGTCTACTCCCTCGCAACCTCCCGCAGAAGATCGTTGGGCACCGCCATCGGCTGATTGCGGCGCGGCGCATGCGCTCACCCTCTGCTACGATGGAATGACATTGCTCTCTGGCCACCAGAATGGCAAGGTTCTCTCATGGACAGTTGGAAGGAAGAAGTACGCCTCGACCGTGGCAGACTACACACATCCTGTCACCAACCTGTTTATGCTTCCTCCTAACGGTCTCCCTCATCCTTCCCTCGACCTTAAGCGGGTAGCACACACCATCGTCAAGCCCCGCTACGACTCTTCCCTGTCCGAAACCTCTCAAGCAGCTGGCGCCGTTCCTGCCGATTACACCTTCAGCACGCACCTCCTCCCCTCCATCTCATCCAAGCCCGACTCTGCTAAGCCCGACCAATTCACCGAAGCCTTCTCCCACGCGTACTTCCCTGAATCCATTCTCGAAGAAGGCCTCGCCGAACTCGCTGCCTTCAGCCAGCCCACTAGCAACGGAGCTCCCGTCTCCTCGATAGCACAGGGCATTAGCGACGAAGACCTAGCGGCGAAGGATTCCCAAATATCCCAACTGGAGGCAGAACTCGCCACGCTGAAGAAGAAATCTTCTGTGAACGAGACCGCCCGCCAATCCACAACAGACGAAGTAACTAAGCTTCGTTCTGATCTCGCCAACCTGCACGATTATATCAACGAGCTTCACGAGAAACAAGAACAGGCGCAGCGGGAGAAGATCCTCCGACAGGCGCGGAAAGAAGAGCGGGAGACCCGCCGTCGGGAGGCCTGGTTCGCAGCCGAAAAGAAGGGCAAGAAGGGAGATGTTGTTCTCCGGAAGATGGACGCCGAGGATACCGTCATGACGAGCGATACGGATGATCAAAGCAGTGATGAGTAGACTCTTTTTCTCTATCCATTACTACTTTACAATTTTAATTGCATGATCAATCACTATCGGACCCGCATTTCCCCTTTCTTACAGTACATCATTCGACAGGCGCAAAGGTCAGAACACAAAAAGTCTCAATGAAATGACAAATCACATGATGCATGTCTTTCCTACAAAGTACTCTGCTTGGGATTGATAGACACACGGAGTCTTGTATTGTATATAGACAAATGGGTAATAGATAAAAGTTTCACCAACACTACCACCTTGAACCTATAATAGTTATTCTTCCAGCTCTCTACAGACTACGGAGTAGTCCATACATAGATGGCTTAAATACCCTACATAATAACCCGCCTCCCCCAAACCCCCAGGCTGCAGCCACAAAACACCCTGAACCAAGAATCACCCGATGAAACACACACAATATGTGCGCCCCCAACCCGCGGATGAAACGAAAGTGGCTGTCAAATGGTCGAAACGGAGGAATGTGGACTCGCAGGCCTCTGGTATGCATGGTGTGGAGACACACACCATCGTCCGTAATGCATCATGCGGGCTGGGGAACATTTCAAATTCATTTGACGTTGTACAACGTATGTGGTTACATTCCGCGCATGATATCTAAATTAAATTAATTTAATTTATGGAAACTACGTGATAGTAGTGTTTATTTGTGGGAAAGTATGTAATACGAAAATAAGGATATTATTTGCTTTGCTCCATTCCATGGGGGTTTGAGGTGTCTGGGCTACTTCATGTTCATAAGTGCTAGGAATTCTGAGGGGAAAAAAGTTCGTTATTTGTTGGCTGATAAGGTTACTGTGTACAGGTTTTTTCTGGCTTGGCAGATATGGGAGGGTTTTTGCGTTGGGAATTTGCCATGGGTGTTGTCGTGGCAGGTGGGTTAGGGTTGTATGTGCGGAATCCAGCACGCCTGGTCCAGACGGTGGTGGTGGCGGCGGCAGTTGGACACTGGACTGATGGGTAGGGAAATAAAAAGACAGATAGACGCAAGGTAAGGAATTTGATCTCTCACCTGGATTGAGCGCCTATCATGGGAGCTGGAAATATTAGCCGTCGTGATGGTATCTGTATGTCTTTCTTAGTCGGTGGGTGCCATCAAACAGGCCGTGGAGACTAGTCAGCCCCATCCAAACGGCTTCCTCTGTGCGAATGGTTCTGCTTCCCTGTCCGGGTAGGAAGTTTACCCAGTAGTCGAAGAGTTTGTCGGCATCTGATGGGCGGATGGCCATGTCGCGGAGTTGGGAATCGTTCCGAACAGCTGCCTCGATCCCAGCAACACCACCAAAAACAATGAGGATATGCTGAAAGTCTGGAGAACGCTGTTCGCGATCAGGGGGGTGGTCTTGCTCGTAGCGATCGTGTACTTGTTGGGGCTTCTCTTCTAGCACTGTGGAGATAGGCATGCCACGCTCGGACGTGCCGAAGGATAGGTCATAGCCACCGTCATAAGGACACTCCGTGAAAACAGAGGAGAGAGACCGACATCGTCGCACATAGTAGCCCCAGTAATACCCCGCCTCAGCACGAGGAGTGGATGGGTGTACGGGTTCTGCATACGGGAATCCATGCTGGGGAAATCGGACGGTCACTCGGGCATGTTCTGGAAGGTAGGTGTTTGGAAGAATTATTTTCTGTGAGAGACCCGTGTCCACAATTGTGGCAGGGCCATTGTTAGTAGAGCTGTTACGATGGTGGAAATGATGATCATTGCCCATCTGGTTGATCTTGCTGGCCCAATGTCTGTTTCGCGCTGAATATCGATCAGCACTAGAAACGACAATGCCTTCACGGAAGTCGCACCACTCATTGGCACGTAAGTGGTGAGGCATATCCAAGCTGGGTAGCAACCCAGCTGTGCGAAGATTGGGATGGATAGGAAAGAGGTGTTTGCGCAAGTATGGTGGAGTCTCGAGGTACGACAGAATATGAGTCAGGTAGTGTGAAGGGTCCGAATTCGCGGTATAGGCTTTGGGAGAGGATGCACCGCCATCCATTTGGTTTCTAGTTTTGGCAATGGGTGAGTTATAGTGATCTTTATGCTCTTGAAAGTCATAGTATGCACCATATTCATCATCGTCAAAGACCACGACTTCGTCGACGCAGAAGACGGCGAGGGCGCGCGCGATCACACCGGCTAGGAGGGTCTTTTGCTCGACAGAATGAGCGCTGTACAGCAGATGTTAGTGGTTGACTACATCAGCAGCCCTTAAGCAGCACTGGTCGAGGGGGGATTACTTGGCTATGATGCTGCCCGGAATGGCAACGCTGAGAGTATGCGATCGGCCACCCTTGGGGTGGAAGACAGCTGAGGGCTTTTCGGTGAACAGGGAATTGGTTGCGCCATTTTGGTGCGACGGAGGACTATCTTCGTGGGTAGTCTTGCGTCTCTACATGGACAAAGCATTCTCTAGTCAGACACTGTTATTACAAGGAGTGTAAGCTGTCATTGACATACCTTATAGTTGGGACGGCGCATCGCAGGGCAGCAGGAGGAAGCAGAGAGCGATGAAGAAGGATGTGAAGGGGAAGTGGAGGACGGAAAAGAGACTTTCAGGGACGAACGCTTCTTCATTTGACGAGACAAAAGATCCTTTCGTGGAGCAGGGGATGGCCCAAACAACACATAGTGGACTAGTTCGAAGGCTTTGGTTGACCGATCACACTCCCTGACGATGACGTTGAGCTCCACCGTCTCCACCAACGTTAAGTCAACATCCTCACGAGATTACTCCATAGTTATTGCTCAATCCAAAGTATAGATGCTCCTTAAGAAAAGCACTCTCCAGGAATCTATCCAGAAACTCGGATACATTTTCCGTTCAGTAACCACTACCACTACCACTACTAGCAATTCCCGTCTTCTCCTCCTGCATAATCTTCACCCCCGAACTGCTCCCAATACGCGCCGCTCCTGCTTGCAACATCTTGCGGCAGTCCTCTGCTGACCGTACTCCCCCACTGGCCTTGACTTTGGTGCCCTTCCCAACCAGATTGGCCGTCTCTCGCATAACAGCAACGTTCTCCAAGTTTGCCCCGGGCCCATTAAACCCAGTACTAGTCTTGATATAGTCCGCTCCAGCTACACACGCCAGCACCGAGCCCGCTATGATCTGCTCGCGAGTCAACTGAGACGTCTCCAAGATGACTTTGAGCCCAACGGGTGCTGGGGCTGCTTTGCGCACTTCCAGCACGTCCGTATATACATCCTGGTACTTCCCCTCTTGCAGAAGAGGGTAGTTGAGCACCATGTCGAGCTCAGACGCTCCCAGATTTACTGCCTCCTTCGCTTCAGCTGTCTTTTCGTCCGTCTTGTAAGTTCCCTCGTGGAATCCAACAACACAGGCTACGCCGACAGCCGGATGCTCTTTCAAGTTCTGGACTGCTCGAGACACATGGTTCAGTCGGACGCAGACCGTCGCGAATTGGTGCCGGATGGCTTCCTGACAGAGGTCGTCGATCTGTTGCTCCGTTGCTGTCAAGGCTAGCTGAGTGTGGTCTATGGTACGATTGATCTCAGATGAAATGTCATATGATGGGAAGGTCGTAGGGAGGGATTGTTGGATGCCGGAGATCAGCGTCGCCCATTCGGCGTCGGTTTCTGGTGTAGTCATAGTGTGATAATGGACCTGACGCTTGTGGCCTTATCGATATATTTAAAATTGTATGAAGAACCACAGCAAGCAGGATGCAACGAACTTGATGTAACCGAGGAAATAGATTAAAGAACTAGTTGGGTCTGGAAGGTACTGAAGCTCAGATGATTTCCCGGCACCGGCCCCTCTTTTGCGGGGCATTAGCATTTTCCCCATGAAATTACCCATGGGAATCAACGGCGTTGTTGATCACCACTGGATCGGGCTTAAAACTATCACGAATTACAACTACACAAAGCATCATATGGGACTCTTCTACAAGCCATACCAACTCCCTACACATCCCATCCACCACAGAAGAACCCAATCACAACAACTCCATTCCATTGTTCCAATCCATAGTATAATCAATAAAGAGCGCCCTATCAAAACTCCCATCCCTTCAATCCCACCATATCTCATTTTCCAAACCCCCCTTCAAACGTACATCTCCAAATCAACCACAGCTCTTACACTCCGGGCCACGAATATCATCTACCCGACCGATCCTCGGTCCACCACCACCACCGCCGCCGCCGCCCGGTCCCCAGGATCCGCCTCCACCTCCACCTCCACTGCCCCAGCGAGCACGAGTATTGGGAGTCTTTCCTGACTGAGTAACGTTGAATCGGGAGTTTTGGGCTGCGGTGTAAGGGTCCAGCTAGATCATGACATGTACCGTTAGTATAGGGTTCGGCTGGGTGGGTCTCCTAGTTGGAAAAATGGGTGTAGGTGTAGTGCATACCGAGAATAGGCTGACGATATACAATCCGAGGAAGAGGTAGATGTTCTCGATGAAGCGGATGATTCGGACTGTGATGGGGGGACTGGACGGAGGATAGAACTGTCAGCCATGGCTTTCGTAGACGGTGAGGGGTCATCATGGATGGATGGAGATTTACCTTGCTAGAACGCGTCCCCCAGACACGTAGGTCTTGGGTTCGGATGCCATGTTTGTGTCGGTTTGATTGAGTCAAGAGTGAGATGGATGATTGTACAGGAAGAAGATGATGGGAGGCGATGCGATGCGCCAGATAACGAGCTTGCTGGATGAGGTTTAGCGCCATTGACGGGGACAGTATGTTTCCTTATTCGGTCTAGTGCATAGAGACCCTTGGATGACATCAGTTTCTATACAAACCTGAGACATGTGTGTTGTTGAATTACCCCTGTAGCTAAAGCGACTACTACATACAGATAAATTTCATCTACTTGTGAACTGCTGAGAGATATAAGTAGGGTGACCATTTGCGGTGGACTGCGCAGCGAGTATCACACAGGCGTCAAGCATCAGTACCGCTCGTTGGAACTACTTCCGTCTGAGTATCTGGCATGGATCCCTTTGAAAGCTTTGATGCAGCGGTTCCAGCCAGCTCTTGGATAGAAGAACCACCGATAATCTGCAGCACAGGAAGGTCAACAGACAGCTCCCTAACGAACCAATGCCGCAGCTCGATAGCCACCAGAGAGTCTACCCCCATCTCGGTCAATGTAGATGCTCCAGTGAGCGATTCCTCGGCGGATAGTTGCAGCCTGGAGCGCACTTCCTTGATAAACCCTTCAGTTATTATATCCGTGGCTTTGCCAGTGCTCTTTGCCAGCTCGAGTTGCTTCCTTATCGGAACATTCTCGTTAGTACCGGATGCAGATGTGGTCGGGTTAGCCGCATGGCTAATGAGATGCCACGCCTTCGGATTTCGCAACCATAACGCGTTCGAGTTCTCTTCAGCGTTTATTACCTGGTAGCCAGCAATTACTTCAGGATCATTGCTAGAGCCCGGGTGTCCTGCAAGGACACCCTCTGCGAAGAGCTCATGCAGGTCTTGCTCACTGAAGTTTGAAGCACCAGTGTTCCGCTCGATCATGTTCTGAACTGCACTGTCTGCTCTTGCAAAATACCCTACCCCTTTAATCAAGCCTGGATGAATAATGCTGCCGACTAGGCCTTGTTCGTGCCGCTGTTTGATAAGCGCTGACATGAATTCTGTGGCGGCTGAATATGCTGTCTGGCCAACATTACCCAGCGGCCCAGCAGCTGATCCAAATAGAATAAAGAATTCTAGGTCCAGGTCACCGAAAATCTCGCTCAGGATAATACTGCCTTGAACTTTTGGGGCCATGACGCTCTGTATATTCTCTAGCGTCGTTTGAGCAAAGAGGCAGTCCTTGAGCACCATCGCTCCGTTGGCTACTCCCCCAATCGGAGGTAGTGATTCACGTATAGAAGCATAGACACGGCACACAGATTCTCGGTTGGTGACATCACTGTTACAGATTATCAAAATAGCCTCGACATACTGTCAGGATAGACACTTACATTGCCATTGGAACAACTCGAGCACCCAGTCTTTCCATCTCCAAAATCCACTGCGCATCAACATTTGGGGAACGGCTGCCAAGGACCACAGTTCGGGCTCCTTTACTGACCATCCACTGGCAGACGGATCTTCCAAGATCACCAGTCATCCCGACAAGCAAGTATGTCTTTTGTGGGGATAGTGTAATCATGGAGCTTGCTGTTTGAATTTGAATATGGACTTGGCCTGGCTGGGTCCAATCCACGATCTCCAACTGATTCATTCCCGGTGAAGCACCCTGCAAGTTTTGAACAGAGACAAGCGGAAATTCTTCCTGCAAGGTAGCCGTTTGTAGCGCAAACCCACAGGCTGCGAGGAATGTTTGCCCAACGGTGATCGGACTAGCAGGCCGCAATGATTTTGACGACGTTTTGCTCAAACTCGAGATATCAACTTGCACAACATCCTCGGGCAGGAGAGATATGATTCGATCATAGACACTGCTCGCACCTTGAGTACAGCCGACAATGACAGAAATGTCTTTCGGCAAAAGGCGATATAAAGTACGAGAAGAGCTTCTCTCGTGAATATGCAGCACACCAGTCTTTGGCACTGCGGCTTGGACATTGGTCACAAACAATACCCGAACATTTCGTGCAAGAGCAAAGGCTGAGACAGCATCACACACAACCTTGCATAAAGTTTCGGCCTTATAGATCATGATCATTGTGTCGGGAAGCCCTTTGTCGACGATATAAGTGGCCAGCAGGGCAGCAGCTGTTCGCATCAAGACAGTAGCTTCTAGGCCCTCGGGAACGCTGTCTGGGAGCCGCCAGCACCACCCGAGTGGTGCCACAATAGCTGATGCATGTTGCTCTGATAGTGCCAGCCAACGTGTATTATCATTTCCATCTCGACCGATGACTAAATGCAGAAAGCCAGCGCCTTCCACCTTATAGGCAGTTATTGTCGAAAAACGTACAATAAGCCGACGATGGGTTGCAGTATTGTAAGCTTCTTCTTGCTGTCCAAATTCCAGGCTTTTGCGTAAGATGAACTCACTGCGCCTGGCAGACGGGGCAACAATCTGTACCGTGGAATCTTGCAGGTCAACCAAGCCATTGACCGTGCGATGGCTTGCAAGATATCGTTGATTCCTGGTGTCGTCAAACTGGATTCGCGGAATATGCAGCACCCCATTTGATAGCCGTAGCTCGAATTCTGTACTATTCAGGCAGACATCCAGGCCATCATTATTGTCCTTAGGTGTATGGACCAACTGCATGAAAATATTGGCAAGAGTAGGCGCGGTGACCTCTTGATGGTTAGGTATATTCAGGTACTGAAAGATGGACTGGGGATTCTCATAGGCGAGGCAGTGAACAGTAGCCTTGCTCATGCTCAAGTAGGGCTGCTTGCTTTCTGGGCCACTCGTCACCCAAAGAAGCCTGCTGGCGCTGTTCATAACCATCTTGAGGCCGCTGAGACACTGTGCTGTGATATTCTCGTAGCAAGGCGAGTCTAAATCGGTCAGATTCAATACACACCAGCCATATATGTCATCCAGGTCTAGTACATCGAGAATCTGTACAAGAACTAACTGACGGAAGCACGGTCTGAGCAAAGCTTCTAAAGCAGATATCATAGCAGATGTTGCTCCTGTCGCTCCGCCGATGATGAGTAGGTTATCTGACTGTGTTACCTTGAAATCGCAAGGCCTTTGAAGTAGCCGAATACGATCATCGACTGCCTGCGCGACGAAGGTCGACTTGTAGCCAAATTGGCCTGCAGATGATACTGCTTCAAGTGCACCAAAACCAGTCTTCTTAAGCAGCAGATTCCATTGGTGGAGGCTAATAATCGGGATTTGAGGGCTGCCGTTCTCATCGGACCACCACTTTTCAAATGAGCTAACTATCAGCCCGAGGTGGGTGATGCTCGTACTGGTGCTGGTGCGAACGACCAAATACCCACCGGGTTTGAGCAGGCGCCGAACAGTTGTCAAAGTCTGCATCAGACTTTCAGCACACCAAATCATATCAGCTGCGACAATAAGGTCATATGAGTGCTCGCTGAAGCCTTGCTGGACGGGATCTGACAAGATATCAAGCACCTGGTAGACAATCCGATCTTTGTTTCGAGCAAGTCTTTCTCGTACCTCCGCAAAGGATGTCGGAGAATTATTAGTGAAGGTATAAGATTGATATGATCGTTTTATTTCCCTCAGAATTGATTCCGTGGCCAGACCCCTTCCTGCATTAAGCTCGAGTATTTTCATATGAGGGTAGCGGAAAGCGATCTGGCTAACGAGCACTGCAAACTGCGAATGGCTGCGGTTGTTTTCAAAAAGATCCTTATAAATCCCGTCCAACTTGCCTTTCTGACAAGGAAGCTCGATCATTTCGCTTCTCCCTCTGAGGAATATTGACAAATTATCACCTGCTATCCGAAGCTGATCCCAGGGATCGCTACCTATGCGTGCCGTATTCGTAGCTTTGTCGAGAGCATCTTCCAGGGTGCCGTCTAGCCAATCTGGACGACATATCGGATGGGAGCCGTCGTGTGTTGTACAGAGAACCTGATCCATCCACTGCAAGACGCTAGACCGGTGTTGGTCAAGGTTTTTGCATTCCTCTGCGGAAAGCTGCCTCCGTGCATCTCTAATATACAAAAGAGCGCAGCGTTCCACCCACTGAATCTCTTCTGTTTTTTGACAATCCTGATATACGCTTTTGCAAACAGCTTGTGGCAGCAACGGGCCCCAGACAATCTTGGAAAAGATGCCACGATCCTCGGGAGTTGAAATCGGAGCCACATGGAAGCCCTCAATTTGGTAGACCCCGTGGCCGTCAGGGTCAAATACATTGATATCCCCTGTCATGCCATCTGGGCTGCCACTGTCGAGGAAAGCTTCAACAGCAAGCTCAGTCATGGCCTCCACTGAGCTGGGTTTGCACAACTGCGGGTTAATTGCGATGTGCTCAATGGACACAGGGACATGCAGTGTGTGGACTTCATCGATGTTCCTCGCCGCTAACAAGGCCTGCAAGCTGGAGTCAATGATAGCTGGATGTATCAGCAAAGACGAGCCCAGCTCGGTCCCTGAAACTATGCCCGTCGACCCACTCGCTTGTCTAGTGAGAGCCTTCAGCCCTTGGAAGGGACCGTTGTAACCGAGACCAAGACTTTTCAGAGATGCGTAGAATTCAGTTATGTCCATTGACTGAGAAACAGCTGATATAGACGATCTAGGGGGCAAAGACATAGCATCTTGTTCCCCTAACGACACAGTCAGTTCTCCAGAGGCGCATGTCCTGAGTTTCCCAGCAATACTAGCGTAGCACTGGAAGGCTGCAATGATGACATTGCTTTCTGATTTCGTAACGCCTAATTTCGAGATTATCTCCACACCTTGTGGATCGTCAGGAATAGGAACAGCACAGTGGATGCGCACATCATCGAATTCCACCAACCGCAGAGGTTGGCCACGTGCGGCTTTTGCAGCTGCTTCCAATGCCATTGATATGTATCCGGCCGCAGGGAACACGGTCTGAGATTGAACCTGATGGTCATTAAGCCATCCGAGTTCTGTCCGGCTTAAGTAGTTGCGCCAGCGCCATTCGTCTTCGCCTGATTCAGGGCTGAGAGTCCCCAAAAGAGGGTTTGGGAGATCAGAGTGATGTAGGCGCGCTTTAGTATGGCGAGACAGCGTCCAATAAGCTCGTGTTTTGTCGAAGGGATATGTGGGTAGGCATTTCACGAAACGGTTTCCATATGACTTATCGAACAGTGACAGATAACGTTGGATGTCTATATTTGTTCCCAGATGTGTCCAGAGTGAGCCAATAGCGCGAGCAAATACCTCCATACTGTTGGCATCACGCTCAGCCAAACCAAGGTAGGTTGTCTCTGGCTCTACATCTGCCATTTCAGATATTGTTTGCAAGACTGGTCCTCTGAGTGTGGGACGTGGCCCAACCTCGATCAATAAATCAAATTTGGGATTCTCTGCAAAAGCGGCCGCTACTGCCTGAGAGAAAAGCACGGGACGAAGCATGTTCTGGCACCAGTATTGAGGAGTAATGTCTTCAGTGTCTAGCCTTGTTTCCTTGTGTACGCTAGAAAACCATGTCGTTGTCGTAGGATTTGCCTGAATTCCACAGGCCTCGAGAGCGCGCAGATACGGTGCAGCGCATGGTATCATATGGTGCGAATGATAGGCGATGTCCACATTCAGGCGATGCACCGCGAGATCTAGGCTTTCTAACATCCATTCGAGTTCCTGTATCGCTTGTGTATCCCCAGAAAACGTGACACTTACCGGAGAGTTACTTGCAGCAACTTTGACTGTTTCGCTGAAGCCACCTTCAGAGCAAAGTGCCTGCGCGTCTTCCCAGGGAATCCCACTGACCAGCATAGCTCCAGGCTGGCCATTTGCGACGGCCTGTTCAGCTACGAAACCTCGCAGGTATGCAACTCTGATAGCATCTGCTGCGCTAATGGCGTCTGCAGCATAAGCCGCTGCAATCTCACCCGACGAGTGTCCCACGACAGTGGAAAAATGAACCCCCAGAGCCCGTAAAAAGTTTACTTGTATTATCTGCACAGCTGTGCGCAGGGGCTGTGACACAACTGCTTCGTGGATTCTTGAAGATGACTCGGGAGCCGAGAGCTCCTGAACCAATGAAAAGTCTGGACGGTACTCCAATGGAAGACTGTTCAACGACTCTTGCAGTTCTGTCATCCAGATCATGGCTTGTGGACTGGCTGAAATCAAGTCCCAACACATTTGCGGATACTGCGCGCCTTGTCCAGTAAAGATACCCAGTACTCGTTTTGGTGTATGGCTGGGCCGGGACATAATACTTGGAACTGCTGCTGACCTTCGCTTCTCAAGCTCTATCTTGATCTCAAGTTGAAGGCCTTCAATTGAAGCTGCTGTGATAAAAACACGGTGACTAAATGCTGATCGTCGTTTTAGAAGAGACTCGGCTAGGGTTATCAAGTCGACGGCGGGGTGCTCTTGGAGAAATTGGTCATAGCATTCTAGAACCTCTATCAGGATTTTCGCTGTGCATGCAGAGAAAGTAAATGGAAGTAGCCGTGGGCACAAGAAATGCTCTAGCGTCAATTTCGTTGGACTATAGCTTTCAATGATCGCATGTGCATTACTTCCACCGAAACCAAATGAGTTAACCGAAACCCGGCGAGGAACACCTGGGGCAAGGCTGGGCCACGACAATGGCTCGGTTGGTATGCGAAGTCGAGAAGTCAGAGGTGCAATAACTGGATTGATGCGCTCCAATAGCATGTTCGAGGGTATAATGCCTTTCTGGACGCATAAAGAGGCCTTTATAACTCCCGCTAGCCCTGCTACACCTTCTGTATGGCCAATGAGGGTCTTTATTGAACCCACGTACAAGGGCTCTTTGATTGACTTCTCAGGCAAGGTTGAATCCCCATAGAATGCATTATATATGGCAGTGGCTTCTTGAGGATCTCCAGCCTGCGTGCCTGTGCCATGGGCTTCAAAAAATTGGCACCGGTCTTCGAGATGGTCTGCGGGATTCAGCCCGACGCTGGCATATGTTGAGCGTATAAGCTGTAATTGGGCAATGCTAGATGGCATGGTAATTCCCATACTGCGTCCATCGGCATTGATCCCTGTGGCGCGGATGATACATTCGATGGGATCCCCGTCCGCAATAGCATCGCCGAGGCGTTTCAAGACCACGGAAGCAATACCCTCACCCCGTGCATAACCATCCGCGCTTTCATCCCACATCCGACACCGTCCGGAGGGGGAGAGTAAGTGCATCCGGGAAGCAGCAATATACTCGCGGGGGCTAAAAATGAGGTTGCTAGCCGCCACCAGGGCTATGTGACAGTCCTGGTTTCGCAGAGCACTTACACCCTGGTGAAGGGCTACCAAGCTTGAAGAGCATGCGGTGTCTATCGTCATTGATGGCCCATGCCAGTCAAAAAAGTAGGAAATACGATTGGAAAGCATAGATGCTGCCGTTCCGGATGGGGTATACATGGGAACCTCATCCCAGTCACGGCTAATCAGACTGGCGTAGTCCGTACTCATAAGGCCACAAAAGACTCCCGTGTCAGAACCTCGAAGGGCTTCTAGTGTTAAGCCTGCTGTTTCCAGAGACTCGTAGACGACCTCTAGTAGTAAACGTTGCTGAGGGTCCATCGACTCTGCTTCAACAGGAGAGACATTGAAAAAGGGCGCGTCGAATGCGCGGGGGTCCTCGGTAAGAAAATAGGATTCAGGAGAGTTTCCTGTACCATGATGTTTATCAGAGTGGTAAAAGGCATCATGGTTGAACCGGTCCTTGGGTGTCTTAGAAGCTACATTGCGCGGATGAAGCAGAAGGTCCCAGAGCCTAGACGGGGAGGATGCTGAGCCTGGGAATCTGCAACCTGTCCCGATAATTGCGATGGGTTCAGGGACCGACATGAAGCCGAGCGAGGGAAATAGTGAGAAGCGAATAATCAATCGATTGCTGGTGGTCCAGAAAGGAAAAACCACCGGGTCAGATGACCGAAGCGGAATGCAGGTTTCCTTTCCTTCTTATACACTTCAATTTTCTCCCATGTCATTTGGGTTCCCGTGGCCTGCTTGTAACCAATCAACCTTGGATTAGCACCGTGGCTTAGGTCGTCTTACTTCTAGGCAAGTGCAATTTGGAGAAGTAGCAGCGCTAATGTCAGAATGGTGCAGTTATTGGTACACTTCCCCATGCAGACAGGGCAGATGCCTCCTAACTAATTGACGTTCTTGTTGTGATAGTGCAGGTGGGGTTAGGGTATGCAAATCTGGACCTGTCACTCGGCATGCAGGGCTCCTCCTTGACTGCCATGCTCATCTCTTAGTCGATAAACCTTAGAGAACTGGCAATGCACCAGTGAACCGCCTGCAGGATGTCATATGTCCAGCCATTGAGCGTGATGAAGCGAACAAGGGCAGGGCGCTGCAATCAGCACTTCCTCCCGGCCGGCTCGAGACAAAGGCATTCACTGAGTGTGGCTTGGGATTTCTATTGGACGGATCGATGCTCGTGCTGCAGTTGCAGAATCGCGGCCAGTCGGAGGTAAGACCAGTCTAGGCTTGGTACCTCTTCTGCCCTTCGGTTGGTTCATCGCCGTCATCGGCGTCGCCTAGAACTACCCCGACATATGCATGTCTCGGACCCTTCAGAGCACGGGTATTTCCTTCACATCAAGCACGCAAGCCCATAATGCGAAGAGGATTCTGTTTTTAATACTTCGGTTACTTCCTATCACCAAACGATAGATATTTTCGTGTGTTTTGGAAAAACAAGTAACTTGTCTCATGGGGACAGGAATGTGCCTCGCTTATGGAACTCGTCAGAATTCGGGGTCCCTCCGCCGCTAGATAAGCAAGCTGCATCACCCATCTACATCGGATTCAGATTAGATCACCGTCACAGCAAACAAGGCAATTATGTCCAAGCGCTTACCATGCGACTAATCATATGGAGCAAACTTAACCCTCTTCCGATTTCGCTGTACCCAATTATAGGACCTGGAAAATTCAACCCCCATCTGGGTAGCTAAATTCTGACAGGCGTTCAAGCCCGCCTAGTCTGGTGATTTGATCATGCTTACAGCACACTTCCTGGTGAAGTAGTACGGGAAAATTACTGCAGCATGATACGTGCTCCAATTCGTCAGCCGGAACTGACCCCATCTTGCATGTTCCCTTTCAGACTGATGCAATTTGTGCCGAAGTAGCTGAATACGGGCTTCGTGTCTGCTCGTGGTTCAGGCGCCATCCCGAAAATGAGACAAAACGATCTTACCTCAGACAGATAATTGCCATTCTGTTACTCCTCAGCCTGTCTCTGCTTCCATTATGATGAACCTTCCAACTGTGCACAAGGACGTGTTGTCCTTTGCCTTTGATCACTCGGTTGACTATGACGAGAGCCAGCCACTCTATATTGATGCAAGAAATCCATCGCGCAGTCTAAATGCCAATCAGTTACGTCGAATAGTGCGGGCTTTGATCGCAGGACTCAGGCGGTATATTAAGCAAGGAGAGTGTGTGTTGGTTCATCTGGGCAATAGCGTAGGCTAAACCCACAGGCAACGTCTAGTTCCCAATGACTGGATCTAATAAACAGTCCTTAGTATGTTCACTCAGCTCTCTTCTTCGGCATAATAGGAGCCGGGGGCGTTTACATGGGTGCCAGCCCCGATAGCCCACCTCATGAACTAGCCAATGTTCTTGAGCTGGGGAGGCCAAGGTTAATCATTACGACGAACCAGACGCTTCATGCTGTCTTGAGTGTTGCAACCAGCAAAGGCCTCGGTCCGGAGCAAATCTGCCTGTTTGAAGAATTGACTATCACTAGCTTTCTAGAGTCAAACCTCAGTCATCATCGCCAAAATGCTGAAACCATCACATTATACGACCTTCTCGCCTGCGGCGACGAGGATTGGATCAAGTTCGATGACGAATCCCTGGCCAAAACCACTCCAGCCGCTATGTATTGCACCAGTGGCACCAGTGGGCTTCCCAAAGCCGCCATTATCTCGCACCAGGCCGTTGTCTCCCAGCATCTTAACAAGCAATATGAGGTTCCATACGCTATCAGAAGACTGGTCACTGTTCCAGTCTACCATCGCTTCGGGGCACTGTGGCACGCATTTCCCATCCGTCAAGGAGAGCCAGCGTACTTCCTGCAAAAGTTCGAACTGAATCACTTCCTCGACGCTGTTCACAGCAACAGAATAACAGACGTATTTATTGTGCCAGCAATAGTTCACCTCTCACTTCAGTCCTCTCGGCCTGTGGCGGAGCTCCTTTCATCTCTGCGTATGGTAGGCGTCTCAGGCGCGCCCATCGACACGGGATCATTACAAAAATTTCAAGAACTGCTACACAAACAAGCTACTGCGGCGCAAAGCTGGGGTATGACAGAGACCGGCCCAGTATTTGTATGCAGGTATGGAGAGCGCGTCGATAAAGGAAGTATCGGAAAGCTTGTCGGGATAAACGAGGCAAGACTCATCGACGACGAAGGCATGATAATAACTAGCGACAACTGTCCCGGTGAGCTATACGTACGAGGTACGGGATTATTTTTGAACTATAAGGGACGAGATGACGGAGTCGACGCAGATGGATGGTTTCGAACAGGGGACGTGGCCTACCGACAAAACGAGTACTACTACCTGTTTGGCAGAGTCAAGGAAATTATCAAAGTACAAGGGCAAGTAGTACTTTGACCACCTTTTTACTACCGCTCTTCTAACAGTGGAATTCAGGAACCAAGTAGCCCCCGCCGAAATAGAAGCTATCCTTTCCAAGCACCCAGGAATATCCGATGCCGCCGTCCTCGGAGTCCAATCCAGTGACAAGAGCACCGAACTGCCCCGAGCCTTTGTGGTGAAATCATCAGCTTTCAAGGCCAATCTGACCGCAGATGAAGTCTACCAATTTGCAAAATCCCAGTTAGCAGGCTACAAGGCTCTAGATGGAGGCGTGGTATTTGTCAGTGATATCCCTCGGACTGCGAGCGGGAAGATCCTACGGGACAAGTTGGCACAGATGAATGCTCGACGGGAGAAGATCGCCCAGGTACTTTCTCGTCGGGTTATCAAGGTGGTCACTTGATCTGGAGGCCAGGTAATGGTGGTCTTTGAAACATAGCTACCATGCACACGTTCACGCTCGAGAAACCCTTATTAATCATTCAACCTGGTAGATTCCGTCACTCATTCACCTATGCAGATTCGTAAATCACGCAATGCTTCTCATGTCAGCAACTACTTCCTAGCTCATTACCTACTACAACCGACGCATTATGCACTCGACGCTAGTCATTTACATCTAGACCAGGCCAGCATAAAACCAACCCCCAAAAAGGGCCCCAACAGCTCTACAATCACGACAACCAAACCACATACAATAATTAGAAACAAGTGACCAAAAAAAAGTCTTCTTTCGTCTATTCGGTATATGGGTATCTATGCAACAAAAATCCGTCCAAATCCAAACCCGAAGTGAGCATCATCCGTAACCGTAACGATCATAAAGCTTCTATCCCTGCATCATTCATTCTGACAAGCCGTAACCTCCGTAAGCAACTCATCCAATCCACGGAATCCCTCTTCCACGACCCATTTCTGTCCCTGAGCGGGATGTAGAACATGGCAGCTCGCGCCGACAACCAATAGACCAGGGGGTCTTGAGCCCTCGGCTTCGAAGGCAGCGCTGACGTGCTCCAGGGTAGACCGGATGACGCGTTGGTCGGTGCAGGAGGCTCGCTCAATGATTGCGCATGGAGTGTCTTTCGGCCATGGGGTCCGTGGACGGGTGCCCTCCGCTGGCTCGGTGGTCAGGGATTCGATGAGCGCGGACAGACGGTGCAGGGCCATAAGGAAGACGACCGTTTGTGTGGGGACGTAAGTAGGGGGTTCTGGGGCTGCGCCTTTGCGGCCTGTGCCTGTGCAGACGAGGACTTGGTCGGATACGCCTCGGTGCGTGGCGGGGATGTCTGCGAAGAGGGGCGCGCTCAGTGCACTGGTGATACCGGGAAGGACGACGGGTGCGTAGCCTTCGCCTCGGAAGAATTCGAATTCTTCGCCTCCTCGGCCGTAGAGGTAGGGGTCACCCTGCTTCAATCGGAGGACGTATCTTCCTCGACGCAGGGAGTCCAAGCCCATCTTCAAGAATTCCTCCTGGGCCTGGTCTGCGTTGCCGGGGAACTTTCGCGCAATGTGGACTTCTGTCCTGCGGGGGATGAGTTCTAGGACAGGTGCTGGGACGAGTTTATCGGCCAGGATGATGTCGGCGGATTGGATGGCATTGTATGTTGCGCGTGTGAGTAGATCGGGATGTCCTGGGCCGGAGCCAGCAAGAACAATCTTGCCCTTCTTTGACAAGGTTTCCGAGTTGCTGAGATCTTTGGGCCCGTCTTTGCTAGACGAGTAGGCCTCGAGAATGGCGTTTATGTCTTCATCTGTGATAGCGGCTAGCTTGCGAAGGGGCCAGTATTCACAGATCTGGGACAGCCAGCGCATGCGGCGGGTTTTGGCTGCAGAGATGTCGTCCTCTGTGACTAACGTGTTAAATGTGTGCCGTTGGCCAGTTGCGTCATCCTCGTCACCCTCTAGCGGTGCATCACATAGTCCGGCAGCATAATCCTCCGCCCAAAGGCGCTTTCTCACTGCACCTAGCCTGTCAATGGCACTTCCGAGATTTGATGGGAGTCCCGAGGAGATTTCCCTTCTGAGTCGCGAGGCCAGCTTACAGCCGCGTCCTGACGTTGTGATGCCGATGTGGAGAGGGCCGTCCGAATACGTAGACAGCAAGCTGAAGGTACAGAGTTCCGGAGCATCTGAGACATTGACTGGGATTCTCAGACGACGGCAGAGCTTAGAGATGTGGGCACTCAATGGGTTGTTTCCGCCTAGAGTGACAAAGACCGTGTCTACAACACGGTCGACTTCCTCTCTTCCTAGGCTCGTAAGATCCTCATCCTGGAACTCTCTACGGAGCCACTTCAAAGAGCCGTTCTCAATCCGTTCGACCAACGTGTATTGCAGGCTCTCTGTGTCCGGGGCGATGAGAACGGGCTTTGCGCCAGCTTCAATGCTTTTGGCACAACGGGCTGCTGCAAGAGGGTTGGCCCCAATGATCAGATGGACTTGTGACTCAACGTTCACGGCTGTCAGTAGAGGTGCCGGAACACCACTATCTGATGCGTCCTTCATGTTTGAATTGCCACCGCGGGGTTTGCGGTCTAACCTTCAATTATTTTTTTGGACTTCGTTGTTGTTGTAAAAAGTTTTGGTGGTAAGAGCAATCAAGACCCTGAAATTGGAGGACCCACGCTGATTTATGCTTGCATCCCACAATTGAAGTCGTGAGTCGATTAAGTTTCCAGGTTCTTTAACTCCGCGGAAAAGCCAACTGATGAGCAACGACTGCAGATAAGAACCACGTTCTCCAGTCAGCACGTCTGGCAGGTCGATAAGACTATCTCAACGATTAATAAACGGAGTCGCCACAGAAAACCAGCGGAATTGGAGTCATTCTGCCTCTGGGAAATTTATAGATGCATTTCCTGATGGGGTTAAGGCGATATTGCGTGATCGCATGCAGTGGCTTAGGTAATCCAACCCCGGATTGGGGGATTCAGTATGGTGCCTGATTCAGTAACAAATGAGTATTAGCCCTCTGAGATGACTGTTCAACATCTTATACTCTTATCATGATATCTGGCAGAACAGAGTATAGTCGAGATATGCTCAGGAATTATACCCCATTACGGGTGTGATTCGGGCGCATGACTCTAGACGCGAGCATATGTCATGACATGTTCATTGAGAAGAGTTGTGTTTGATAGTTCAGTATTTTAGAGAGTTCAAGCAATTCCACTTGGTGAAAACCCATCACTGATAGAATATAAGTGCTAATGTTCGTGGTGGTCTCGTGTGTTTATCCTAGTAACCAGAACATTGACCAGGTCGTGTTAGTTGGTAACCGGGAGTGTCCCATTCATCATAATAGACGACGGATATAGGATTTTTGACATATGTTCAACAGAAATTTAAATCATATCGCTGCGAGGTCAGTTCCATCGAGAGATGGAGGCACACGTCTACGATATGAATAGTATTGTTGAAGGATGTTGATCTGGTCCAAGTGCTGCAGCGGTGTATATCACGTGACACAGCTGCCGCCAGCTCGAGCTGCACGTCAGAGCTCCGATCCAGTCCATGCTTCCACTCATCTTTCATCATTCCCCCCAGACTCCCATCTTCTCCCAATAATCCCTCCCATAACTTGCATCCTTCTTTTTCTTCTACAGGTTGATATCCGCCAAATTCGATTTATACCCTGCTGTGACGCTTCTCCGTCACCATGTCCGAAACCCTGTTGAAGCCGGAGAAGGACTTCTCCAAGGATGCTGACAAGCTGATCCCCGAGGCTGAGCAGCTTGCTAAGGTCGGAGCTTTACCTTTAATTCTGCAAATATGAGTTACTGACCGTCAACAGACCGATGTCCAGGGTGCCATTGACAAGCTCCTTGTATTGGAGAAGCAAGCAAGACAAGTACGGTCCTTCCCTCGTCTGTTTGGCGACATCGCGATTCTTACCCATCCTACAGGCTTCGGATCTTGCCACAACATCGCGCATCCTTATCACCATCGTCACACTCAGCAAGAATTCGGGAGACTGGAACCTGCTGAACGACCAGGTGCTCCTGCTATCCAAGAAGCATGGCCAGCTCAAGCAGGCCGTAACGAAGATGGTCCAGACGGTGATGGGATTCCTGGATGAGACACCGAACTTGGATGTCAAGCTGTCCGTCATCCACACACTGCGGACTGTGACTGAGGGCAAGGTCAGTGAAATAACCACCCGTCCAGCTCCGCATTATGCTAATGCGCGGCTATATAGATCTTTGTCGAAGTCGAGAGAGCCCGTGTGACCCGCATCCTTTCCAACATCAAGAAGACCCAAGGCGACCTGAACGCTGCTGCCGATATTCTTTGCGAGTTGCAAGTCGAGACATTCGGTTCCATGACCAGACGGGAGAAGACAGAGTTCATCCTGGAGCAGGTTGCCCTCTGCATAGAACGGGGCGACTGGACACAGGCCACCATCCTCAGCCGCAAGATCAACAAGAGATACTTCAACCGCAAGCCGAAGAAGAGCCCGGAGGAAATTGAGAAGCTGAAGAAGGAAGCCGAAGAGAAGGAGAAGACGCGTAGCCCGGATGAGGCACCGATGGAGGTGGACGATGACGTGACCGACTTGAAGCTTCGCTACTATGAACAACAGATTATCCTCGCCAACCACGACTACAAATATCTGGATGTTTGCAAACACTACCGGGAAGTGCTGGATACGGAGTCGGTGGAGAACAACCCGGAGCAGCTTCGCGCCGTAAGTTTACCTTAGAAGACTGGTGAGTACCTTCAAGCTAATATCATCCAGGTCCTCGCCAGGATTGTCTACTACATCGTCTTGTCTCCCTACGATAACGAACAGTCGGACCTGTTGCACCGCATCCAACAGGATTCGCGGCTCTCCCTCGTCCCGGTTGAAGGCCGGCTAGTGAAGCTCTTCACCATCCACGAGCTGATGCGCTGGCCGATGGTGGGCGAGCAGTTCGGTCCTCACCTCTGCAACACGGATGTCTTCAAGCCTCAGCCCAGCCAGTCGGTCGAAGATCAGCCGTACCGGAGGTGGCAGGACCTCCGCAAGCGCGTGATCGAGCATAACGTGCGGGTGGTGGCCAAGTACTACACACGTATCCAGATGGGCCGGTTGACCGAACTGCTGGACTTGACGGAGGAGGAGACCGAGAAGTACATCAGCGAGCTGGTCTGTTCGAAGACGATCTACGCCAAGATTGACCGTCCAGCCCGACTGGTCAATTTCGCCAAGCCTCGCGATGCCGACGACGTGCTGAACGAATGGAGCAGCGACATGAAGAGCCTTCTGGGGCTGCTGGAGCGGATCGACCATCTGATCACGAAGGAGGAGATGATGGCGCGGATCCTCCCCACGCGAGAGAAGGGCAAGGCCCGGTAGATTCTGAGTAGCAGAATAGCAGATATACACATTGATGATAGTAGAATGGGACAATAATGACATCGTCATACATACATACACACGATCGATTTATAGTCTACATCTATGTATAATCTAAAACGGCAACTCCATCTCATTAACATCCACCTCCTTCTCCTTCTTCCCCCCATTACCACCATCCCCAAGAACCCCCCTCACAAACCCCACCACAGCATCAAGATACGGCCTCTGCGCCGGCACAAAATGCCCCCCAGGATGCACCACCACCCTCCCCTCCACATCCACCGCATCAGTGACCTCCACCAACGCCCTACTCCTCCCCTCATCCACAACCGCATCCAACGACCCCAACACATGCAACACAGGTGTCTTCACACCCCCCTCATAAAACCCGCTATACCTCGGCCCCGGCGCCCGAAACCCACTATAACACACCGCAAACTTCAACTCCCCTTGCCCAACACTCCTCACACACTCCCACCAAGCACTCGGCACCTCAAACCCCTTAACATTCTCCCCGTTCTCCTCAAACACACTCCCCTCCTTCGCAAACCTACCCATCACCTCCTCCCTCCCGGGCTCCAACAACGCCGCCACAATCGCCGCCATCGCCGCACCCTGCGAGAACCCCACTACACCGTCAAACGGCCCCTCCGTCTTGATTACATTCGCGATCGTCTCTAGACCCAAGTGCAGGTCCGTGTAGAGCGGTGGGTTCGCGGTCGAGGAGCGTCGGAACCACCCGTAGGCTTCGGTGGGTGTGTCATCGCTGGTGGTGGTAGAGCCACCTTGTGTGGTGGAGGGCTCGTAGCCTGGGATGTCGGAGGGGAGGAGGTGGATGGGACCTGTCGGGTAGGTCGTTGTGATTGTGTACCCGGTTGTGGGGAGGAGGGTCTTGGTGAGGTGTTTTATCACGGCGCGGGATTTGGCGTGGAAGAGGGGGCCGGATTGTGTGTAGCCGTGGAGGCAGAGGAGTTTGAGGGGGGGCATATTTATTTCTTTTCTTCTTTCTGGGGTTTGGATTTTGTTTTCTGGGAAGGTGAGGGGTTTGAAGGGTGAAAGGTGAGGGTTATGTTGCGGTTTAAAAGGGAATGGGTAAGTGTATGAGGAAGATGTCGGGGAGAGAAAAAGTACTAGTGGGAGGAGGATGTGAGGAGATAAGATAAGCCGGGTGGATGGGTGGATGGCGGTTACTACGGAGTACTTAGTTGGTTGGGGTATCGTCCTTTCTACGATATGGGGATGGGCTTTCCGGGTTTGTAGTCAGGAATTAAGAGGAAGTGTTCCTAATGTGTCGAGGTGATCACTTGGTCGTTGGGGCGTATCTTTACAGTTCAGTTGGTGGCACTCATACATACAGGTAAAGAGGGTTGGTCTAGATGCAAGGGCACTCGGTGACCCCAGCTTCGACATTGCGGAGATGCGGGCCAGATCTACACATTACGAGGGGCTACTGCTCTACTACTACACGCGAGTCTATACTGACCAATATAAAACATACGATTGCTACCACACGAGGGGTATCACAACTCTGCAGTGCCGGCACTGTCCTCTCAGACCTAGTAACCAGACTCCTGCAGCCAGTCACGCCGCTCCGCAACAATACCGGAGCCGCCATCATTCATCTTCTCCACGATGGAGATCTGTTTTTTTCCTCCTTCCATAATATCCGAATTCCTGCGGCAACCGGCAGAAGCTTATGTGCAGACGTGACTGGTGGCGTTGTATGACTTTTCCCCATATCGTGCCCCTGTTCGAGGTACATCCGTCGTAGGTACAAGGAACATAAGTTTGTCGAAGAACGATAATCATCACGCGAAAATCAAGAGGAAAGATAAAAGGCAAGAGTAGTTTTTGGTAGTATGGACCGATCATGTGCCAGATATCCGGAACTCCCCTGCGCAGAGATGTAGGAAGATAAAAAATAGTAAAACGCTTTTTTGAAGAGGTGTATCAAAAACGAGGTTCTGTGCCTGGTCAAAAATTTTTTTCATTTCCCTTGTCTGTGTGGTTCCGCAGGGCTTTCTCGCAAGGGGCGAGGATTCCATCTTCTATCTGAATCTGTTTCCTCAGAAAAACGAGATATATTAATCCATCATCATTGAAGAACGCCACATTGCTTTCATCATCGCTCCGGCACGGTTGCGTCGAGACGTTTACTTGCGGCGGAAAGAGCAGCCCTCAGTGAGACGGGCCTTACCACCGGTGGGCTGGCAGAGGACGGTCGAGCAACCAGCGCAGACGACGACGGTCTGGGCGTGGGAGAAGACGGTGGTGATGGTGAAGCAGCCGGGGCACTTGACGTCCATGAAGAAGGAGCGGGGAGCAGGCACAAGGGTCTGTTTGTCGAAGGAGTAACCGATATCAGCCAACCCATTCCATCCATCCCTTATCGATCACTTTTTTTCCCGATATGGAATTGTTCATACCTTGAGCTTGTGCTTGCGGGCCTCAGCCTGAGGCGCGGGGTTGAGGAGGTCGACCGCGAGAACCTATTCCCAAGGGATATCCGTCAGTTCAACATTCTTTCTTTCCTTTCGATAAAAAATTTCGAGATGCCTGCGGCGACGGGATGGTGGCGACGACGGGGTGCACAGATGGCTAGCGGCGATGGCCATTTCTATGCAAGCATGCAGGGAGATATGTTGGGCAGGTTGTGGGATGGCATCGTAGGGGTAGAACGTACCATCTTGACGAGACAAAAAGTCGATCAGCGAAGGGAGTTGAATGAAGCGCTGATGGAGATGGCCTGCTTGAGGGTGAAAGCGAAAAGGTGGTCTCGTGGAGATGGCGAGCGCTGAAGGGAATTCTCGACGGCGTCACCCACGGCGGCCCGTTTGGGGGAGCATAGGGTTGCAGCCCTCTCGCTAATACTGCCCGAACAAGCACTTTTGCCACCGCCCGGCGGTGGCCCCTGTGGCTGATGCCATCTCCACCAATCACGGGCCGCTTATATCAGCCGCCAGATGCTGCTAGATGCTCCAAGGTCCTTCGATGGAGCTCCCTTTCTTACTTTGTACTACTATCTATTTACCTGTTACTCGGACGGGCAGAGAGATTACGGTTGTTGACGCATTGTCGCCACTCGGCAACTGCTGATCTCATACAAATACATTTCTATCGCTAATCCAATACGCTGCTTAGATACGGCCATGACATACGTTTCCGGTCCGGTGACATGTGCCTGCCATTCAGACACCGGACGACTTGCGACTCGGTTCCAATGCTCCTGATAGCGCAAGGCCAGGATGCACGAACGGCTGCGCCGTCCAATTAATCTACCGTCTACCGTCTTATGCGATTCGACGTTCTCCACATGGACTCCATTCTTTCGTACCCTCACCGCCATCATTCGCGTCCTCATTAGTTCGACTTCTTCGCCTCTCCATTGGCGGCCACCACTTCCACGTGAGGATGCTTGATTGTCAAGCACCAAATATCAATATAGTCGCATATCGTCGTGATGATGTCGTGCTGTTTGCAATCAGCGTCTCGCCCTCGAATGGTCATGCATGACACTTACCACGAAGCTGCCGTAAACGCCGATCGACAGACCCAGGCACACCCAGACGAAAGCAATCTGCCTCACTCCGTCACCCAGAAGACTCGGCCAGTACCCAAAGACCGCACCAGCGCTGTCGAGCACTGCCAAAGCAAGAGGGATCAGGAGCATGTTGAAGTAAGGGAAGCTGGCCTTGACCAGGTGCGCGCAGATCATCTTGCCCACGGCGTACGCATTGATCATGCCGACGTACAGGCAGAATGGGACCATGTAGTTCTCCAGGATGGTGGGTTGCAGGTAAAGATAAGCCGGCACAAGAGTCCACACCGCGACCAGGGGGAGTAGGCCATACAGGGGCTTGATTGGATCCTGACCACGCTCGCGGCGCACCTGCATGACATGCACGATGCTAGAGGCGGTGGCGAAGAACAGGAGGACTCCGCCGTAGACGAGATACCACTGCGTAAAGGCCATGTCGTAGATGTGCTCTGGGATGAAGGCCAACTTGGGAACCCCAACGGTCTCCAGCATGGAGCGATGCCAGAAGCTGCCACCGCCCATGTAGGCCGTGAAGCCAAACACAACGCAGAGAGTGAGGACACCCTCGACGGGGCCCGAGATGATTCCCAGAGTCAACACCTGGGTATAGTATTCATCCCAGGTCTGGACATAAAAGGTCATAGTCGCTGCATCTCATCAGCATCGCCCAGTACTCATCAACTTGTCCACCACCTACATCCGAAAAGGGTCAACACAGTTGCCCAAGATTGGCCGAGGTTCATAGCCGCCGCAAAGATCAAAACTCCCAAGGCCGTGTTGCATGCATCGACACCTGCAGGCGAAGCTTAATTCCCGGTCCAGCATTCAAAAATGGTCAGGCCGACCCATTAACTTACTGTGATCAAACAGCTCACCCAGAGGACCGCTTTGCTTGGTTCTCCGCCTGCAAGATCAGATTTAGCATCCAGTCTACCAGCGGACAAGAGAATCACATCAAAAATGGGGCGCAAGGGGCAGTTCGTACGCTTGGATGCCGTCTACGCCGTCAAACGTCTGGTAAAGGAACAACCCGATGGCGCAACTGGCATAGACCCAGGGCGGGCAGTCCTGGTCTAGGGTCGGGTTGTACCAGAGAATGGTGATGAAGTTGACTACCACAAAGAAGAACCCAGTCAGGGTAATCTACCAGTCCTCAGTTATTGGTCTTTGTCGCAGCAGGGCCAGTCCAGGGCTAAGATGACTTACGGCATTAGGACTAAGACCGGGGAGGGAAAAAGGCTGTTAGCCAGACGAGAATAAAACAAAAACTAGAGGACGAAACAAGCCAGTATCGTCACTTACGCCATGCTCATAGGGAAGAACTTGATCACAAAGTTATTATAGAACGGCTTGAGGACATAGCGGCTAACAAGAGAAAGATCGACTCCTGCATAACGGTATTCCCGCAGCTTGGGTAGTTGATGCTGGCGAATGTACACCATGTTGCCTGTTGGTCAGAAGGACCTGAGCTACAGCGAGCAATAGGACCTGTAAATCTAGATGGTCAAGATGCTCGGAAGTATATGGTCTCTTGAGTCTTTGACGCGATGAAAGTCAAACCGGAAGCGGGCTGCAGTTGACGCCAGAATTGCAGATGCCGCGCGGTAAAGAAGGAATCAAGGGCCGGAGAAGGCGAACCAGGGCCAGGGGAGCGGAGAAAGGGTTGCTCAAAGATTAAAGATGAAGTTTATAAAAGGACACGGTCGAAGTAGAAGTGTAGAAGTAGAAGTAAAAGAAGAAAAAAGAAAAGAAGAAGATAAAGTAGCGCGAGTGGGGAGAATAAAAAAGAAATAGCGACGCGGCGAGGAAGAAAGAAGTGGGTGCAGCTTGTTGATGCTGGCCTTGAATTTTCTAGTAACTTTTTTTTCTGCCGGCGGAAAAGTCAAGGCAAAGACGGGAGGGCGGACGCGGGGAGCCAAAAAGGCCAGTGAGGAAGCCGTATCGAGGCGGTCCCTCTTCTCTTCAACAGCCAAGAACTTTCAACGACTTTAGTCGCTGCGAAGAATCCCACCGCACAGCGTCGAAGGACCAGGTGGATTCCCGCGGAATACCCACGTGCCGTGCTGCTTTTCATTTGCTGGTTTACCTCGGACGGAGGAGACAAGACCGCACCCACGTCTCCTCATTTCCAACAACCAGTCCTGCTACGGAAGCCCGTCTGTGATCGTCGTGGGACAGGTGGGGGGCGCCAGCACACCAGCAACCAGTCTGCTGAGTCGCGCGAGGACCCGAGGCAGCTGCCCATGACGGAAATGAATTTAGTCGTCGACAAAGCGGAGTCGCGCAGGATACGCTAGAACAGTCAAGCGGGGCCATGGATCAACTTTGTTTACAGCAGCTGGTCGTCTACTTTGTAGATACGTAGTCTGGAGATAGACAGGAGACGGGGAGAACAGATACAACAAGATGTCAGTTTGAACATAGGTATGCTAATGCTAGATACGATACACAAAAGGCATCAAGGCCGGCTCGTGAGAGGAACAATGAGCAGCGTGCCGAGTGTGTACACTACCCCAGACGGCTCAAGGGCCTCCTGATTCGGCATTCGCTGCAACAGTAGACAGGGCTGACTCGCTCCATCCTTGATTGGTCTCCTGTCTATCCCCAATACCTCCTATTCCTTCTCTGCTCATGGCGCTCAGACCGTTGAGGAACACCAGTCATCGGGCTTGGCTCCGTCTGCCTGGGTCCTGGAAAACTCACCCCGTGATCAAGACCATGTGATGATCGTCGAGCTGAACCGGCTTAGCCAACAGGACTCCAGGGCATGGGAATCAGGATCCGACTCTGCATGGTCTGAATAAGTGGCACCGTCTTGTGGACAGTTTCCCCCCAGCCTTCGATGCCCCAAGACTGCTCACGGCGGACTTTGCGCTCTTCAAGGTTCGCAAACTGCCAGAGATGGTGTACAGTGTTCAGGTCCCCAATTTGAACGAACCATGCCCCAACACCCTCCATCACCTCCCGGCGGGCCTTGAGGCCACGACGCCAGTGTGTTTCCCACTCCAGAAGATTTCCGGGATGAAGAGTGTATGATCGGAGCTCAAAGAGGCCGCCCAGGCGCCGTGGAGGCGTCGTGGGCCAGAAAGAGAATTCCTGCATCAGCGACGTCTTCTTGCTCTTGATCAAGCCCTTCAACTGCCGGTCAAATTCGGGGAATTCGGGGTGACAGGAGATGTTGTGGAGGGAAGCATGGTAACCTTCATATCGCTGATATTCCCAGATGTGAACTGCAAGAGCCGTTAGCATCTATAGTACCATAGGCATTCTCAGCGCAACTGGAAAGGCTGGATGGGCGCGTCAAGTCAAGTACCAAAGGTGTCATTATCTCCAACCTGCGTGCGCCAGCTGCCAACCAAATTGACCCGGTTCTCAGGGTCGGCAGCCATGCGAGGGTACCACTGGCCGACGAGGTTCACATAGTCGTCAACTTTATCGGGCTTCACGTCGTGAAAGACGATGGAATGTACGTATTTTCCACGGGCGAGAACCTGCGAGAATGACCGTTCGATATCTTTGTCCAGCTGCTGGCCTTCCTTCGTTCCGTAGATGAGCGACGACAGGGGGCCGCGCTTCGGAGACTGACTGGCTTCCTGCAGCTGCTCGTCTCCTATAATACGGTGGGTAGAAAGTGAGCCCAAAGCCTTATTATCAAGAACTTCAGCGGCATCAAAAACGGGATGTTTGTTACTGCTCGCATTGCTCTCACCTGGAGCAGTGGGAGCGGTAGCGTACTCACGAAGGCGGTCACGGGATGCAGGGGATGGGGCAGAGGTAGAACCAGAAGCATCGACAGACTGACTCTCTTGCTGTTCTCTCTTCTTGCGAGCAACCTCTAGGTTCTCGCGAAACTCCTTCTGACGTGCGTTGAACTCAGCAGCCGAGTCGGGGGTGATGTCACGGATAGAGGGGGCGCGGGAGGCAGTGGCAGTGGAACTGAAGGGGCGAACCAGCGAAGATGCCGGCCGCAACAAGCGTGGGGCGAGCATGATTCCGTAGGGAGCTGATAGCTATACAGAAACGGATGCTGAGGCAAGGGATAGAGTGGGGAGATTCTTCACAAAATAGAGGGAGGACAGGGTAGTCGGACAAGAAACGAGGGGGACAGGTAAAATGAAGGAGGATGGAAGGACGTGTGTCGGGTTGACAGCAAATACAGAAGAGGAGCCCAACGACAGCGATTAGACTGCGAAAGGCGACACAAGAGAAGAGGGGTTTGCCGACAGGAGAGGGGAAATAGATGAGTAGATGTAGAAAGAGTAACTGAGACAGCAGGTAAGGGCAGGGATGGGAGAGGTAGGTAGACACGCGATGCGTTACAACGACCTGACCGACGGCTGAAGGGAAGGCGCACTGCAGCAGGAGTCCACGGAACCAGTCAGGTCGCAAGCTTTAGAGTCCAGGATCAGCAAAGAGGAAGGTCGAATTGTCGGGCGGAGAAGTAATAATCCCCAATGACGGTTGTCGGTTATAAGCCACGGGTATGTAGGATATTAGGTGACAATCGAATAGAGCCAATGGAGGGAGAGTGTGGAGAGTGAATGGAGAGGGAAGAGGAGAGGAAAAGAGAGAGAGAGGAGGGAAAGGAAGGTAGTTGAGTGGTTAAGGTACTTCCGGACGGCACAAGTGGGAAACTGGGGAAAAAGGCGTCACTTGCTCATTAAACTGGAAAAGTGCGGGGAAACAAGCCTGTGAAGAGACAAGACCTGTCTTGTCTATTCTGCTAAATAACGTAACTGGGCTGTGCTTTCCTCTCTCTTTTCTCGGCTACTGCCAATGTAACTTGAGCTGGGGCCTGCCTTATATAAGGGCTGATCACCAATCCCAGCCCTAGTGTACTAATCCCATTGTGCTGATACAGCTCTTGTTTTCTTCTGCGGATGATGTGTAGTCCCCGAGTTAGACATTCCTCATGATTTGTCCATTCCATTTTGTCTAGGCCGATCTTCGTTGCCTGGCCCTGCATCTCCGAGACCATGACGAAAGCGGTCTTGCTTCCTTTCCTCCGCGTTCACGGCTACGGACATGATAACGGAAAATGAGGTTATCTTCATTAAACTCTTCAACCCGATTGGTAATGGCTCATCAATTGCCTATAACTCACCGGGATTTTCGGTAAGTAAAGGGCTGATGAAACTGGCAGCATCCATCACCGCCTCAAGCGTAGCTCCCAGCACCGATGACGTCGTGACCGGAGCTGTCTCTTATGTAATCAGAAGCGAGCCGCGCAGTGATCCGGGCCCGTATGGCTAGTACTAAACGAGACTAGTCCGGTAGACCCAATGCGGTAGCTCATCTCCTCCAGCTGAGCTGGCCCGCCACTGCCACTGCCACTCACTGTGTACTGTCCTACCTGAGAGCTCGTTGACTCGACAGAGTCCAAGCGCACTTGCTACACTTGACACCAAGCACCTCTTAACCCAGCTAGTCTCTGAATATATTTTCTCCGTGTCCTACACTATGGCGGATTCTATGAACCCTCCCCTCTCGTACGAGGCCTCAGCCACAACTACTCATCCGCATGTCGGGACTACCCTCCCAACGGAGGTGATTTCATGTCTGAAGAATTCTCGATTTGTGAGTACTGCAATTCCTATACCTTTATACCGTCATTGTGATCGGAAACTAATCTTATACGCTGCCAGCTTCACCTTGCAACATGTGATGGCTTGACCCCGCACATCTCGCTCATGTCCTACACCTACCTCCCCTCGACTCCCTATGATCCGTATCCGACAATTATCATGACCACCAACCCTTCCTCTCGCAAAACCAACCATCTGCTCACCAACCCTCGCGTGTCCCTTCTGGTCCATGACTGGGTTTCGCACCGTCCGCCTACCCGGGCCCCCAACCCCGATGGTCGCGAAGGGTCTCCCCCGCCTGCAGCCACACGGTCCTCTCTGGCGAGCCTGTTGTTGAACCTGAACACAAGCGCCCTTTCGAGTATCTCCACAACTATCGCCGGTACCGCGCGCTTCTTGGAACCTGGCTCTGAAGAGGAGGCATGGTGCAAGAAGCAGCATCTGGAGAACAACACCTTCGAGGAAGAGCTAGGCACTTTCGGACAACAGTTGCAGCAGCAACCCGGTCAAAGACGGCCCAGTATCTCAATTGACAGCGATGTCCGCGTCGTGACTGTTCAGGTGCGCGAGGGCCGCATTGCAGACTGGAAGGGTGGCGTGAGGGATTGGCAGTTGGTATCGGAGGGTGAGGGCACGCAGGGAACGATGGTTAATGGCATTGCGCCCGCGTAATGGTTATTGGGTTCTGTGCTTTCTTGTATATCATATTCTATGAGTGGAAATAACAAATTTGGGAAATTGAAAGCAAGCAAATATCCAAGCGTTGCAGAGTGCCTAGGTCCAGTCAGTCATCGGAAGGTTCGGCGCACTCGGTTCCTGAAGATCTCTGCAGACACGATCTCGCAATCATGCTCCTGGACCAATATGGAAGTATCCACTGCATTACATAGAGAACTTGAATGCTACAAGCAAACTTAATCTCCAAATAAGCTCCGGGTGGGAGAAAGAAAGCACGAAATCGAGATCGGAATTGCGTTCCTCATCACATGACTACTACAATCCGGGGAGTGACGTCCAATCTTATCAAAGCGCAAGCTCAATAAATTCACACCAACTACTACCTATTCAATAACTTCGCCCAATTTCACACTCCTACCTCCTCTAAACACCTTCCCCAGAATACCATGCAAATACACCACCAATCCTAATCACCCGCCAATCCCGATTCCAATTCCGATTCCAATCCCAACTCCACCACCCAAAAAATAAACCACCAGACCCCAAAAATGCGCCTCGCCCACCTCCACCTCCCCAACATAACCCCCTTCAGCCGGGTCGCCAACATCCAACAAACACTGACAAGCCGACTCCTCTCCCACAAAAAGCACCTCACGCCGAACCCCCCGGACCCAACCATAATAACCTTCAGCCCGAATCCCGTATACACCACCGGCCGGCGCGACCTCCCACCCTCCAACACCATCAACAATGCCAATGCCAACACACTCTCCCTCCCACCCAGCCTGGAACCAATCCGCCAGATCCTAACCTCCCCACAACCCAACACCACTTATGACCCTACCTCCCGGGTAGCAGAATACCACCCCACCCTGCGCGGCGGACAAACGACCTACCACGGCCCCGGCCAGTTGGTCGCATACACGATTCTGGATCTACGACGGCTGGGTCTCACGCCGCGGTGTCATATACGGTTGTTGGAGAATAGTGTGATTGATGTGTTGAGGGAGTATGGGGTGAGGGGAATGGTGACGGAGGATCCGGGGGTTTGGGTGCATGGACGGAAACAACATGAAGGGTCTGAGGGGGGAAAAGGTGAGCTGCCGAAGAAGATTACGGCGGTGGGGGTGCATCTTAGGAGACATATTAGTAGTTATGGGATTGGGTTGAATGTGACGGAGGAGCCGATGTGGTGGTTTCGGCAGATTGTGGCGTGTGGGTTGGAGGGGAGGGAGACCACGAGTTTGCAGGGGCTTGGGGTGGAGGGGGTGGAGGTTGAGGAGGTGGCTGGGAGGTTTGTGGGGAAGTTTGTTGGGAGGGTGAATGGGGATTTTGCTTGTGGGGATGGGGCGACGGGGGAGGGGATTGAGGAGGTTTATAGGGTGAGTGAGGAGGATTTGTTGAGGGAGGATATGGAGTGAGTGTGGTTGTATACTTTGCATGCTGGGGGTGCGGTTGAGAAGGAAGTGGAAGGGGATTCTTGAGTACGCGAGATACGGCATGTTCATTATCAATGGTACATTTGCATAGTCTATACCAATGGTCGATACGGAGATCGGCCAGAGCGAATGATGGAATATAGATAAGCAGCCATGGGTGTGTCCCGACTGGCGCGCTTTTCTGGAAGGTATCCCCAGAGCAAACATTAGGTATACAGGATTACAACAAGGGGTCCAACAAGTATATATAGAGAAGGGAACAGAGCAAGGCATGACAGGCTGAAAACGCCCAGGATATGATAGCTCGATGCCAGTGATGGGAAAACCAGGGCATTCCCCCGGTTGGAACGGTCACAGCAAATGATCCAGCTCAATGGCTGAAGAGCAAGCAGGTAGAAGGGTATAAGAACAGAGCAATGCAATAGTCGACAAGTCATGAAGGATGGCCAGCGGCATGTCTAGAGAATGACACACCGTTCGCCGGATCCGTTGGAGCCCTGAGTTCTGACTTCCAGGGCGACCTTTGCAGCTTCGTAGAATGTTTCCATGATACCACGATTTTGCACGGCGGAGCACTCTGTCAAGAAGTTAGGAACCATCACGCGAATGACATCACGGCGTGGGAGTCGCCCTTACCCAGGTATTTCACTGCACCAATTTCCTTGGCTTTCGCCAGTCCTTCTTCGTAGGTGATCGCGTTCGGGTTGTCGTTGAGGAACTCATCCTTTCTCAGATCACACTTGAGGGCAGTGAGCACCAATTTGACGCCGGCGCAATTCTCCGAGATCTCTTCAATCCATTTGCTCGCCACGTTCTCAAACGAATCGCGACTGTCAACCTAGTAGGAGTCAACCTCTTGTCCATTCCTCGAGGAGTGGGAATCCTCACGCTGAAACAAAGCATAATCACGTGTGTGTCCTCGTATGATAGCGCGCGCAGTCGGTCAAATTCTTCCTGGCCGGCCGTATCCCATAGCGACAATTCCATGTGTACATTGTCCACGAAGATATCTTAGATGAATGTGAGCATGCGAGCCCGGTTTATGTAGGGAGGAGGAAGTACCATGCACGTAGTTTTCTGGAAAGCACAACGGTCAGTAATATGATCATCATAAGCCAAGGAAGAACATGCGCACCGAATACAGTAGGCTCACTATGTAAGTGGGAAAGATTAATATCGCAACAGGAAATCAGCGTTCAGAAAGGTCATCCTCACTAGACCGTAGGAAAGTATCTACCAGAAAGTTAGCGGTCTCGACCACAAAAGAAAAATACAAGGGGTGCCCACCCTCTGGTGAAGACATTCAGGGCCGAGGTCTTGCCGCAAGCGCCGTCCCCTCTTATCTGGAATCAGCAATCTGCCCATCAAATGTAATAACTGCCAAGGCTTGGTGAAACTGACAATAGCACCATCTTACGTCGAACGACCTTTTGCCGACCACAGAGACTCATTGTAACGGTAGTTGGGAGTGGTGGTTGTGTCGAGATGCGCGAAAAGAAGGGTCCAAGTAGATAAGGGAGGGAAGGGGCTAGATGGGGAGGGGATCAACCGAAGAGCAGAATGGCGAACAGAATGAGGGGATAGTGAAGAGGAATAAAGTGTGCGGAGTAAGGGCTAATAGGTACGAATAGCGTTTCACGAGGCACTGATCTGGCTAGAAGAAAAAAAGTGGTTGCGAACACGAAGATAAGTCGTGGGCCGCCGTGCAGCGAGGCCGGTCGATGTCATCGGCTCCGTCCTGCAACGGGCGATCCGCAAATGAGAGACGATCGTCATCTGCCAAGTGCCTGAGCCGCTCTGGAAGTCGGGAAGCGCTGAGTTCGCTTCGCCACGCCTCGCAAAAATTCACCCGCAAAGATGGCTAGTTCTGACGGTGGGTAGAGGGTGCCCTCCACAGTAAAGTGGCAGTGTCTGTTGAAACCATGGAGGGTGTTGCTTATACTAGCCAACTCAGTAGTAATATGAGTGAGCGTACTCTTCCTGCCTAAGGCGGTGCGGTTAGTTGTAGATGTCGGGTTCAATTTAGCACGCAGATTCAGGCTGTGACAGGCGCCAATCGCTCAGATTGACTTTATATTTAGAATCATTGCATGCAAGTCTAGCTTGAATCGGTCTGACTAAATGTGTCAGAGTCCATTTTTCTGTCACTGAGCCACTAATAGGCAGTAATATTAGTTGAGATAGTCTGGGTGATCTTGTCATTGAACGTGAATTGAACTTATATATAGTACAGTAAGCATAGTACTACCAGTAAGCCCGCTGTCTGACGGCAATCCTTCATGCGGAGTCTGAGCCATTGGACTGTTCAGTGTAAGATAACTCAAATAGATGCCTAGGCCATATGTATCAGCCATCAATTACTGACAGGCAATTCCCGGGAGTAAACAAGCCTCAAGTCCAGTGTAGGTTGTTGTTATAGTAGAAGAATAGAATGTAGTCTCGGTCGGGCCCGGCGAGGAAGCTACAAAGGCGGGGAACCTCGAACTTTGGCCCCAGGCTCCGATAGGCGCGGAAGCTCTCCATTCCTCACTCACCTTCATCTCCTTCCATCTCTTATCTCCATCGGTCTTCTAGCACGCAGTCGATCCTCTTTTGCCTCTCAGTTTTTGATTCTTTTAGATACCCCAAAACGCAGCGAGGTTTAATCCGTTCATAATGTCTGACGATGATGATTTCATGCAAGATTCGGGTGACGAGGAGTAAGCCTATGTTGTCCCTTCAGCCCGCCGATGGCCGCGGCCACTAACCAGCTGGACTGTCGCAGTTACGACTTCGAGTACGAGGATGCAGACGATGACGAATCGGGAGACGTCGGTATCGAGAACAAATACTATAATGCCAAACAGATGAAGATAGACAACCCGGAGGAGGCCATCGATGAATTTCTGGGTGTTCCGGATCTAGAACAAGACAAGGGCGACTGGTAAGAGGCCGTGTTCGTCAGTGATGGTTCAGGCAAGGTGCTGACGGTAGTCCAGGGGGTTCAAAGGACTGAAGCAGGCTATCAAGTTGGAATTCAAACTTGGGAGATATAGCGATGTAAGGCGTCACTGCGCTCTTGGCTCATGATGATAAGATACTGATTCTCCAGGCCGTTGAACACTACAGAGAGCTCCTCACTTACGTCAAGTCCGCCGTCACTCGTAATTACTCCGAAAAGTCCATCAACAACATGCTAGATTATATCGAGAAGGGATCGGACGATGACACAGCTTACCAGTGCATGGAGGAATTCTATTCTCTGACTTTGCGCTCATTCCAAAATACCAACAACGAGCGACTATGGTTGAAGACAAACATCAAGTTGGCGCGTCTTTGGCTGGAACGGAAAGAGTACGGTCAGCTAAGCAAGAAGGTGCGGGAGCTGCACCGGGCATGCCAGCGGGAAGATGGCACCGACGATCCCAGCAAAGGAACATATCTCCTCGAACTATACGCCCTAGAGATACAGATGTATGCCGAGACGAAGAACAACAAGCGACTAAAAGCGCTCTACCAGCGTGCCCTTCGAGTCCGGTCGGCGGTGCCGCACCCCAAGATCATGGGTATCATCCGAGAATGCGGAGGAAAGATGCACATGAGTGAGGAGAATTGGGAGGAAGCGCAGAGCGACTTCTTCGAGTCATTCCGAAACTACGATGAGGCGGGCTCAATACAGCGAATTCAGGTGCTCAAGTATCTCGTGTTGACCACGATGCTGATGAAATCGGATATCAACCCATTTTATTCCCAAGAGACCAAGCCGTACAAGAACGACCCCCGCATATCCGCTATGACCGATCTAGTCGATGCATTCCAACGCGACGACATCCACGCATACGAAGCTATCCTTAGCAAAAACCCGGACGTACTGGCCGATCCCTTCATTGCCGAGAATATCGACGAGGTCAGCCGAAACATGCGGACGAAGGCCGTTCTCAAGCTGATTGCACCGTACACACGATTTACCCTCAAGTTCATCTCGAAGCACATCCGGGTCTCGGTACCCGAGGTACAAGACATCCTGAGCTTCCTGATCCTGGACAAGAAGCTCAATGCCAAGATCGACCAGGAAAACGGGATAGTGGAGGTTGAAAGCGCTAGCGACGTGGACCGGCTGCGGGCACTCCAGGAGTGGAACGCATCATTGCGGTCTCTCTGGCAAGCGACGTTGAACGACGGGGATGGCTTCAGGGAAGATCCCGCACAGCTGCACGGTATGAGAGGAGGAGGGCCCATGTTCCAACCCGGGTTTGGAGATGAACCGCCTGCAGGATTACGCGCTGGTGGTCGCCGACTGCGGGGTGGACACCGAGGCAGAGGCGGCGGCGGAGGGTCTGGAACGAAGCTGGGCCTGGGAGGCGTCTAGGGAGGGCAATGCATTGTCTCATCCATTCATCCAACTAAACCATTTCTGCGTCATAGCCCATACACTTTAGAGAAACACACACACAGGGTTACGAAGTAAGGATAAGGAATGAAATCATGACACAACATCGCTCCATCAATCAATCAATCATCACACCCTACAGACCAAACCAAAACAATGATATCATAGAAATACCAATGCGCACGGCATCTAGATAGCCCATCCGTAAGCCACCAAGACACTAAAATCACCAAATGGGCCGGGGGGGGGCTGCGGACCATGGAACATGGAACATGGAACTCTTTCCCATTCCTCCAACTAAACTACAGCAAGTAAGTAGGAAGTCAAAGCCCCTAAGCCACACAATTCCCTTTTCGTTCCCCAGGCACATCCACAACAGTAAGAGGTACTTTTGTCAATCACACTCTCTGACACTCACACACACAGACTCACACAGACTGATACACAGATAATATGATAATCCATGCTATCCCAGATCCCAGCTGATGTCAGTTCAAGTAAAGTAAGTAACACCCGGGAAAAAAACAGATCACACACACATAAAGTAATACCACATCCACATCCTAGACAATAATAAATCAGGTTAAAACCCCTGTTATCCCGAGGCCGCCACAACCCACTCACCCCTCTCCTCCTGAATCGGTTGTCGTGACAGGTCATGTTCAGGTTCAGGTTCACATATCCCGGTTCGGGTTTTGGTTGGTTTCTTTTGCAACCATGTGGGATGGAAAGTACCCTACTACTATAGTTAGTTAGGAATTAGTTAGCTACTACTAATTCTACTATTTATTCTAAGGTACGTAGTAGTATACTGTGTATCCCGTCAATCCACTATGTACGCCGTACTTGTACCTCTAATGCACGCCAGAGAAGGGTCCTATTTGTCCGGGGAATGGTTGACTGTATCATACGCATCATATGTACCTACCTACTACTTATGTACTCCGTAGTATCTATTGTATGCATGTTTGACGCCTCCCCTTTGATGGAAAGTACTGTACAGGGTCTTGATACGTATGGGGGGTGAGGCGAGGCGAGGCGTTCTGGGAGTATCCTGGTATTGGGGTAGACTAGACTAGACACTTACTTGGTTGGTTGATTGATTGATTGATTGATTGTCTAAACTTTATTTTGGGACTTATTTTGGGTTGTTATGCTGGGGAGTGTGCATGGGTGGTGTGATGGTTGTTTGCTGGTAAGTGCTGGAGTGGACTTTTGTATGTATGTATGTGTTGAGATGGGATGATTTGTATGTATGTGTGGATGTTGTGGAAGGAGGAAAAAAAGGAAAGGTAGTGGATGGATTGGTTGGGATTACAATGGGGTGAGAGAGAGAGGGAGAGAGAGGCTTTGGGGTACACAGATGTGCGACGTGCTTGGTTTAGTTTGTAGATGTGTGGATGGTTTGACATGGACAAAAGAAAGAGAAAAAAAAAAAAAGGTCATTGTTGATTCTAGACAGTGATTATCGGGTGCTTACAGATGGCAGGAAGGACACTAAAGCAGAAGCACAGATAGAATTGCGTAGACGTTATGCCCTACGCTGATGTGTAAGTAGGTAGGCAGTAGGCATGGTGACAGCTGCAAGTAAAGTGCATCACGAAGTAAATACTCCGTCGGTAGGTAAGTAGCCATCCCCAATGTCAATAATGTCTCAAAGACGAAACAAACTCGGCCGAAGAAATCCGCTATCTTGTGTGGAAAGTAACTATGTATGCACTGCATGGAGCAGACAAAAAGCAATCAATTACTTGCCTACTGTTCTGCCTTCCTACCAGGTTATACTCTTTATCGTGCAGCTGACAGGCAGTTTAGGAAAGTTGGCAGTCTGCATGCCCCAACTGTATGTACCTTGTTCAGTAGCTAGGTAGGTAGGTAGGAAGGGAGGTTAGTACTTTTGAACATTGAACATCCCACTAGGCGCAAATGTTGGGTACTCGAAAGTATTAGGTACCTAAGAGATGCAGCAGAAAGTGAGGCAGAGGTAGGTACCTAACTCAAGGTGAAACTGGGGAGAGAGGAGGGGGTGGAAAGGGTATAGGTACCCAATCGAGATTTCTCGGGGTAAATACGGAGTACTACTTACACAACACAGCATAGGATTGTCATCCAGGTAGAAGAGATACTTACTTAGTATCTTCTAGGTACAGTGGAAGTGACTGATGAACCAGGGTCTGGATTGGAGTATGCGGGATTAAAAAGTGGGAACAATAGGGTCTAAGAACTTGATTGTTGAAGTTGCACAAGGGGAACTGGAGCTTTCTTTTTTCTTGTTTACTTATCGATCGGGACGGAAGGGGATGGGGATTGGCGCGGGGAGAGGATTGAATGCCGATCAGGACGGTAGTTGACTAGTGACTACTGTAGTGACTAGTAAGTAGCTGTCGTAGTACGTAGTTGGGTCGGTGTGTGAGATGGTGAGTTGTGGATGTGTCTAAGTTGTCATGGTCGGCTGTGTGTTTGCTTCTCTAGTCATCTTATTCGTGGAATCAGTGACGGGAGGGCCTGGCCGGACTTTTTAGGCTTGCTTACGGAGCTTTCTCAATGAACCTACAGTAGGTATGTAGAAGACGGATAGCTATTCTACGGAGATAGTAGCAGTAGCTACCTGACTAGCTACGAAAGTTATCTATATTGCTTATCCGGGTGGGTGTGCGTAATATGTGCACAGCACATCCGTTCGACAGGCAGCAGCAGGGCTTTTCCCTCCGTAACCCTTTGAATGTGCCTTCAGGGATCTGAAATAAGTGTCAGTTACCGGTGTGTAAAGACGTTTTGCCTTGCAATGAACCGAGAATACACCGAGGTAGTTGCATGTCTCGAATGATAGGGTCGCTGTCAGAATACTACTACTAGTATAGTAGTACCCTCTTCCTCTCTTTTCAGTGACAGTTGACACTGTCAAGATAGAATGGCCAGATCCCCTGCGATGTGTCAGTCTCCACATCCGCAGCTGCCAGATGTCCTTATTTTGGTTTATTTATCGAGTTGCTTTTTCGCTGATTTATGCTGCATTCGTCTGTTGCGAAATGCAAGTGCAGGTCTCTCTTCCTACTGTACAGTCATGACAAGTCCTCGGTAACTGACGACGGCTACCCTAGCCTAGAATTCTGTTGGGACGAATCGGAACGATATCATCTTGCATAAATGGCGGGAGGGGAGAGAAGGAAGAGAAAAAAGAAAATAAGAAGAAAAAGTGAGGGAAAAAAAAGAAAGCAAGAGAATGAAACAAAGAAAGGTGAGATTCAGGTACTCTGTGCTCCGTGATGTGTCAAGTGCCGTGACAAAGTACGTACAGCGGACGAGGCAACCAGGCTTTGCGGACCTGGTGGGCTACAAGGGACCCCATACTTACTTACTCGTAGTGACTCCATCGGCAGTGAGGCACCTGACAAAGCACCACCCACCACCCCATAGCTAGTAGCATATGTACCATGTACCATGTATCCCCGGCCAGGGAGCGCGCACAGAGACCGACCTTTGTTAGAGGGAGGGGGGAAGGAAGGCGGAATAAGCAAGCGATCAGGGATCCTGAGAGCGGACGGACGATGGATGGATTTCGGAGCGGCTTCCGAGGTAGCATATGCAAGCCCCCTCTTAGTTGGATCGAGAATCTTCCTGGAGCCAGAGTCATTGGTAGCCTGCCATCTCGGGCCATTTGATGCGGTTTTGGCAACCTTCTCCCCATGCGGTAGGAGACGCGGTTGATTACGATCCTTGTCCATGGCCATGGTCACAATCCGGAGGGCTGACTGGATGGCTAGTCACACCGACAGGATGGCACCAGAGGTCTTACCATCTTACGGTGGTCTGATCCCCTTGTCAGATACCAGTGCAATCAACGTTGATGCTCGCCCGTTGCTTCTTGCGGTCCCGGTGTGGTGGTTGGAGGCCTTACTGTACAAAATCCGTGCGGCGGTCAACTGTGTTGGGATTGGGGAGGATGGGATGGAATTTGACCGTGTGATTGATTGTCCGGGGTTTTTGAGAGAGAGGGAGAGGTCAGTGGTTTAGTAGATCGTTTAGTATGTTCATCGGTACAGACCGACAGACACGTTGTGGTCGGAAGTAAGCAGTGATACGTGAAGGAGAAATAAGACTTTGCCAACACCACCATCACCATAACCACCACCACCTCGATCATCATCATCATCATCAACAACAACCATCCACACTTGAGAGATATGTCTCAAGCTGGGGCCGTGGAAGTTTAGTGCTTAAAAAGCAACGAGACAGCGAAGCCACGGAGAAAAGGGCACAGAGTTAGACCGGGAAAATGAGGGAGATGAGGAAGAAAACAGCAGAGCGTGCGCGCACTGGGAGCAGTGAGGCACCGGCGGAATCCCGTGTCTTGTCGCAGATTCCGACTCCGCACTTGGAGCTTCTGCATGCAAGACGGCTGGTAGCAGTGCGCGGATGGACGATAAATTAAATTGAAATAAACTCGACAAGCTATCTACCCGGGAATGACTTGTCCCTTTTACACCGTCCAGCGGTGTTGGATCGAGCAGGGCGCGTGCGTGGAGACAAGGGCAGGTTCGTCGGCCGTAAATGCAGCTGCAAGCGCTAAGACAGACTGGTGTTGAGACCGGCTCCCACTCGCCCGAGTTAGCTCTGGGATAGTCGACTAGGCAGGAGTCAATCTCGGATTCCAAGCAACCACAATGGTTTTGCTCTAATCAGATTACTAGTCGTTCTGCTAGACCGGCACTGCTGCAGCTACTCCGCCAGTCAAGCGGATTTGTCGGCTATCCTGCCAGGACATGTGGCCGTTCTCGAGTGCATGGAGGATCAAGAGGCGCAGGTAGCTAGGGGTCATCGGTTGTATCGAGATCGGGCGTTCGTTTCTGCTCCCCCAGCGGCAGATGAATGAGTTGTGTGGAAGAGCGTGTATTAATTAGGAGTATGAGTGGAAATGTGGCCGATGGTTGGCTTCTGGCTGTTCTCTGGCATGTTACGATGGTTGTCTCACGCCTTCACTTAGTTAAGTTTAGTTATTATTCGTCGTTGTCTTTTCCCTAATCAGCATCATATCATCGATCGCTCATCGGCAATATGTTAGGAGGGAGAATACGACACCCCTCAAAGTTATGTGTTTTGTCTTTTTTTTTTTACATCTCGTTTTGATTGTTAAACCCCCATTTCCGACCCTACAAGGACTGCGATCTGAGCACCCGGACTGATCCCGTGGGTTGGAACCCTCACAGCCAATCAGAGTTTGTTCACCACCTTGCCTCGTGATGGTATCTACGGCATCGTAAATTCGTGAAGAAGTAAGTAGTAAGGGGATATACTCCCTATGTACTCCATATGTAGATGTTCCTTTTTGTAACTCATAAACAACCTGGCTTATCAATCAGAATGCCCTAGCTGTCCCTGTTCTCCCTTTCCCTTTCATGGATGAGTCTCGCCCTGATTTTCCCTTAGATTATCCTTTTTTTTTTCTATTTTTACGCCGATGAGGATCATCCCGTAGTATGTCCGGAGTAGATGAGAACCAGCGTGAGGTGGGTTAAGCAAGACTTCTTCAGCCAGCTGGATGGACAGACTGAATGACGGGTGGGTGGATGGATCCAATCCCATCCCGTCGAACATGAATCAGGAGCAAGTACCACCTCCGACTGTTGCACTGGATGGGGATGACCGCCAGACGATGATCATCCCCATTGGGTCCCCGTCCAACCGGCTCTTCCGCTGCACTTTCAACTTGTGCTGCTGTAAGTCAAGCGATGGTGAGGTTTTGTTTTACCCTACCGAAGAGGGGGCGGTAGTTATACCCACCACACAAATAGTAGATGAGAATTAGCAAATTATAATCATTATAATTCTTCTTATTCCCTTATTTTCCTTTTATTCCTTCTTAGGCGTTGTTGTGGAACGATGTTGTGATTGAGGTTTGTTTCTGTTTCTGAGTGAGAGATCGTTATTGGCGGTTCGCTGGCATTGTATTATTCCATGTGTCTACTAGTTGTGCCTAGTTTGGTTTTCACTAGTACAAAGGGAGATGGAAAAAGAGTAGTTAGTCAGTCCTCGTTTGTAGACGTTGATGTTTCCTGCATGGGCCAGTTTTTAAGCAGAAAAACAAAACAAACCGATACCGCCCTGAAGTTACAAAGCAAGTCCAGCCGATCATTGATATCCAAACGCTGTGAGGATGATTGACCAGCCATGTCTTGCATCGTTTGGTGGTTCGGTTGCTGCTGGCCTGAATATCAACCATTCGAAACGTCATGGTTTAGTATTTCTTCCGGCAGTTTTGTCCATCCGTGCATTCCAGGATTCCAATTCCATCCACCGGTCCCGGAGGCTTCGTTCAACACTATTACAATAGTTTCGCTGCCTGCCTTGTTCTAGGGGTAGATAGCAATAGAAGTGGTGATGGGTGGAAGTGATTGTGCATGAGTGCGTAAATTAGTGATTAAGAAAAAGAAAAGAAAAAAAAAAAATCTATTTATTCTTGTATGAGTGAAAAAAATGATGAAAAGGGAATAAAATGACCCTGGTTGATTGAGACCGACTTGAATAATTTTGGACTATCCATGCTGGTGGAAACACACACTTTTCAAGCAAAGCACGCATCCATCCGCTAGCGAGTCGTGACAAGCAGACCGACTTGACCGAACTTGTATTTGGACTGTATGTATGTATGAACGACCCCGTCGGAAACCCCGCGCCCGGCCTTGTTGAAGGTAGGTCAGTCAGTCAGTCAACCTTTCTTTTCCTCGAATTATTATTATTATTATTATTTTTATTTTCTTTCTTTCTTTCTTCCTCTCTCTCCATTCTCCACGAACGCATCCATCCTTCCATTGCTGGCTGCTTAATTTTCTTCCTTATTAAACCCTGGGTCACCTCGGGGTTTTAAAAATATTCGGGATATGGCATTGATTTGACTCGTCTTGTCTTGACACTCTATTTACTTGCCTTTTCCCTCCACCCCCTTCATCAATATCTATCTATCTTATTATTATCCGTCTACTTATCTACTACGGAGTACTCTTACATTACTTACTACCACCACTATTAGGTTCTTCCACATCCCTGCTCGGTCTACCAGTCTTTTTTCTCTTCCCCCTACCTTAAATCTGTTCATCCCATCATCCATCATCCATCATTCTATCCTGTCTTCCACTTTCCCGTCAAGTGATTAGCCGGTCGCCCTGACCATCCAGAATCCATCGTTCAGCCTTTTCCTCCTCTTTACCCTCCCCCTCCCACACTTTACAGTTTCCCGCCCACACTTTGGCCCGCCCACTTTCCTCACCCTTTTGCCCCTCAAAACAAAAAACCAACTTCTATCTTACTGGATCTCCCGCCATTCCGAAGAGCGACGGACTGTCTATCATCATTACCGCTTTAGGGCATAGTATAACACCCTTCGATTTCCATCGGCCACTTTCACCGACGCATCCCAAGCATTGATGCCACGGCACATGTGACACACCTGAGACGTATGCACTTCAGCCGTAGAGAGAGAGAGCTTTGTTGCAGATTTCCAGTAGGTCCAACCACGCTTTTCCTTTCAATGGGCTTTGACATCACCTTGCCGGTTTGTGTTATCTTACCTTCGCATCCCGCTTCTCTCTGTACTATTCTCTCCCCCATTCCTTCGCTTTTGCCCTTTCTTTTTCCCCCCCCAACACTTTCTCCCCTCTTTATCCCTTTATTTCTCGTTCTTGCGGCTTTCTCTGCATTCACCATTACTGTCTTGGCTCTCCCCGACCATCAAACACCTACCCCGATCTTTAATCCCAGTGGCGTTCCGGGTACCTTGCAATTCTTCCAAGGGCACCCAATCGACGATGGAGTAGCATCCGTTACATCTCCCAGCGCATCAGATGCAAGGCGTGTGAGTGCTGGCATGTCAACCGTGTGGGAATCCTTTTCCACCCCATTCTGTCTGGCGTTCGCCGGCCTGGAAAGTCTTTTTGTAAAGGAGGGTTGATTGAGTGCAGAGGCCGTGGCCTTGCGCGCCACTCAGCATCGCCAGATACTCTTTCATCTCTGGCTCTCGCATCCCTCGAGCCAAGTGCATGATTGCGTACTCTATGTCTCTGCCTGCTCAGCTGCCTCTGACCTCCCCTTTCCCCGGCTATGTCAGCCCCTCCCTTTTCTCAGCTTGATCCTCTATTCCTCCATCCTGTTTTTGGTACCTCGGTCCCGCGAGTCTTGATCCTTCTTGCCTTCCCAATGCCAGCGTCGGATCCCGTGGACGTGATTCTGCGGCTGGCAACCGGCTTTGGTTCATCACCTCTGCTAGCACCTTCCCACATCCTTGGTAGATCAGTTGCTTCTCTCTTCACCATTGGCTGAGTCTGTTCGTCTCTTCACGGATGAAATCCCGGGAAACAGCCCTCTTGCATCTTCTGCACGGCTACCGGCTTGACGAGATATGCTAAGGACGTCACATAGTAGGTCGGTTACATCAGTGAATAGACCCAGCCGGCTGGTCATCACTGTGTCACACAAGAACTTTGTTTCAAACGATGCTCATTTGTCTCGTGTGTATTACGTTCTTCCATCATGTTCTTCGCTAAGTGAATAAAGGTCCTGTCTCCCTGCTAAGGAAAGGCTTCTGGCGACTTCTCCATCCCTAAGCGACTGCTCCTGAAGCTGTATATCCAACGTCTTTCTATGCGATGTCCCTGTCGGATCTTCCCTGGAACCATTTCGACCCTATCAACCACTTTCCCACTGGACAGGATTCAACTTCCGGCTTCTATCCTCAACACCCTCATTCATCCGCATTCTTCGATCACGGATACTCGCAACTTTCAAACGCCCTTTATCATCCAGGCAGCAACTTTTTCTTCAATATGAATACCCTTTCGACCGCCGAAATGGAGAGGTTCCAGAAACTCTCCAATGAGTTTCAACCCGACGTTCAGGTAAGGGACTTAATGATCCATGTCCAGACTATCCGGCTCACACGTGCACTTGAAGGGCCCTCCGGTGTCTACGAAACAGTCCAGTAGCGTCATTGCTATGGAGTATGCAAATGCGGATCCGACATTTGCCACCAAGACCAATGTACGCTCCTTCACTTGTCACTCCTTCACCCCCCCGGAAGTGGGAGCCGAAGTGACTCACAGTGGTTCCAACAGGCTCTCGCTATAACGCACCCTCTGACACGAACCATGAAAGGAGACGGAAATTGTGGTTGGAGAGGTAATCACTCCCGTATCATTGGCGATGGAGGTTTGCTTACACTGTGTAGCCGTTGCATTTGGATACTTTGAGAACTTGCTCAACCTTCAGAATCCAATGCAGGTACACCATGAATTGATGCGGATAAAGGCGATGAACGCACTCCTCGACCAAACGGGTCAAGAAGAACACCTATACGAGATTTTCGTGGATGCAACAGAGGAGGTGTTCAACCAGATAACCACTGCCATCCAAAACGGCATTCGGGATGAGACTTTCCTCGTCAATGCATTCAACGAAGAGTACAATTCAAATGCTATCATCACTCATTTCAGGGTCAGTGATCCTTGCAGCGCTGCTATTTTCTTCCCGCATATCGACCGGGGATGTGGGGTTTTGCGACTCACATGTTAATACGCAACGTACTACAGCTGCTAACAAGCGCCTGGATGAAACTTCACCCGTCTCGATACGAAGCCTTCCTCTCCATGCCCCTCGAGCAATATTGCGCGACACGAATAGACGTGGTCAGAACGGAAATCGACGAGATAGGCCTCCAAGCCTTGGTGGATGGGGTGATCGAGGGGTCCGGATTCGCCGTGGAGATCATGTATCTCGACCGCAGCGAAGGTGAAGCGGTCACTCCTCATCTCCTGACCCCGCCGCGGGCTACTGGCGGGACTATCTGCCTACTTTACCGCCCGTGAGTCTCATTTGCGATGCGCA